TGTGATATTGATTAACTATATGAATTGATATAACTATATGAATATATACATTTTCTGCCCCCTTATCTTGAATTATGTGATCATTCTTAATGCATATTAATAGACTGAATCATGCAGTAAAAGAACACACTCTAAATGCGCACGCGCACTAAAGCCTGTGTTGGTCTAACCAGACTTCATCAAGTAGTCTTCTTATGCGTGCACTCTGTAGCTGTGTTTTGTTTGGTTTTTGCAATATACTTGATAATGTCATAATGTCTCACGAGTTCAGTATGTGCGCTAAACCTGCGCAGATTTGGCTTGCATGAACTTCCCCAAGAAATAAACATAACTCACGAAAAGTAACCCGCCGAATTGGCTAGTGAATTGACAGCGTTACCAGCCACAGCTGATTTTTACCCGCATTTGGCGGGTTGGCGGGTGTTAATTTCAAACCCTGTATGTATATATATATATATATGGTACAACAGGGCTAAAGGCGCCCCGGGGTAAAAGGCTCCTTTGATATTATTTTCATCTAAACTACTAGATGGCACAAAATCGTGGCGTAGCACTTTCCAAAACATTCACTTTTCAAGATGCACGTGTATATTTCCTGATCCTTGACGCGATCGCGCGCAGCAGTGCAAAGTTGATTCTGTGCTTACTTGATCTAATATTTTAGGTTTGTTCAAATGTTGTAGATTTAAGTAGCAAATGAGAATCGCTACAATTAATGCATATATTTTGAGACAAATGTCTTAAAGATAATTAAATTAACAGTTTTTAAATAACGAAAGAATATGTAAAAGTATGGTATTTGGGGTATAAAGCGCGCCTGCTGTTGGAGCTAAAGGCACAGTAATTAACATGATAATTAATAGATGGCTGACTTTTCCATTTGTTGACATGACATGGTTAGATTCAGATGTTAAATATCATATATTATGTTGGGTGTCCATATTAGAGATTATCACCATATTTAGAATGAAACCATTATATTTAAAAAAAAAATTTATATTAATCATATCATATAATAAAATATCACTTGTTGTTTGTACTGTAAATCTATATTAAATTATTATTGGATCTCCTTCAATGCTTTCAGAAACTTTACTTTTTAAAATGATTTGTTTCTGTATTTTAAAATATATTTTTATATTAACATGTTTTAATGACAGTATATTTATTGAACAAAAATTAATTCTTTTATTTTTCAAAATAAGCAGAAAATAGTACAAACTTTTCTAACGTGTTTGTTTTGAACAAGTATTAAATTAGACATTATAAAAAATGCCTCATGCTGGTGAGCCTTTTGCCCCCGTGTGTGTGTGTGGGGTAAAAGGTCCCCCTTGCCACCTCATACATTTATAAGATTTTTAAACAAAATAAAGGACTTGTATGATTTCAATTGTTATTAAAGCATGGGGTTTGTTTAAAGGTCATAAACGAAACACTTAAAAATAATAAATATAATAATACAATGATTGCTTTTTAATGGCCACTAGTATATGTTATTATCACTTTATATGTAAGAACTTGATATCTTCAAAATCTAACATTTAACAACTAAAACGTTTTATTTTTCACACTAGCTGTATAAACTGAAATATAATACAGAATAAAAATTATTTATGAAATATTTTAATAGCTAATACAGGTTCCAAAATGTGCTGTAAAATTGTTTTATGCTGAATCTATGTGCATGGAAATATTTATTTGTTTGTATATATTGTAAATTTTCATTTTGCTTTGGTATTGATCAGTTTTGAGGCACGGTTTAAAATTAGCTGAAAGTGTGAAAATACATTAAATGATTGCAGTGAATTCACATTTAATTTATACATTTCAAATACAATGTAATACAAATATAGAATAAATGAAGAATTCATTTGCAAAAACCGATAACTCCAAGTAATATCAATCAAACTGCAGTTGGGTTGTTTTGATTAAGTAATAATAACTTAAATACAGGTAATTTACAAAATTAAAGTTTATTAAAAGTATGTTTTTTCTACATATAAAAAGTTTGTTTTATAGCAAAAGCAGATAACTCCTCATTTCATGTTTTAGAGTTAAAAAAAACACTGGTTTAATCTGTGTAATCTCCTCAGATGATAATGTAGACACCTGACAAACGTTGTTGTTGTTGTGATCATAAACTGTATGGATGTGATTACACGCAATACACAAAGCTTTTCCCTCAACATTGTAACGCGCTGCTTTTGCAAGTTTCCGTGAAAACATTTCAGCTTTTATTTTCCTTTTTCTCCCTGAAGAAGATATCACAGATTCATCAAGTTCGTCGAAATTCAGCTAGCGCGTCTTTTCAGAGTGAAAGTAGCCTTGTCACCTGACCTGAATACAGCGCGCTGATTGGCTAAAATGGACTTATCGGCTTCTGTTCAAAAACAACAATGGCGCTTGTTGGCTTCTGCAGTAAAACGTGAACTCGCCATGCCTTGAAAGTGGACAAAACCGGATTTTTTTGACAAAACCTGCTTAGGGTTCAGATTGCACTATATGTGGAGAATAATGCACGGCACTCCGTTCATTTTTTTTTTTTAAAGAGGCGTTTATCGTTTTTGCAAATAAAAAAGAAAATATGAAAAAAAAATCCGCTTCTATGAATGAATTTGCATCATTTCTACAGAATGACCCATATATTAAAGCAATAAGCATCAAGACACCGTGGGTTACAATTTAGCTGTTTTAAAATCACTGTTAACCATGACTTCATGCTGAATATGAATTTCATAAAAACTTCAGAGTTTATATTTATAAGATAATTACCTTCAATATGTGTTTAATCATACCATACAAGTATTGAATCAACAAACAAACACATCTGATTCTCAAACCTCAGTTTCAGCAGCTGACAGTTTGGGCTCTTCAGTCCATCAGAGAGCAGCTTCACTCCTGAATCCTGCAGGTTATTGTGACTCATGTCCAGCTCTATCAGACGGGAGTTTGATGATTGTAGAGCTGATCCCACAAACTCACAGCACTCACCAGTCAGATAACAGCATAACAAACTAAACGGCATAAAGAAAAAACAACAACAGGACAATAATTGTACATCCATTTATTATTTTTTATTACTTCACAGAGGTTGAGAACAATTACATTGTAAATCATTTTACTATAAAGCAACCAGTAATATTTTAAATTTAACTGACTGATGACAAATTAAAGAAAATCTGTCAAAGGATTTCTTATTTTATTTAGCATAGTTTGTACACCGGTGCAATGGTGTGGCTGTATACTAAAGTGCACGAAGAAAGAGAATGATCCAAGAGAGTTCTTTTCATAAATCCACAGAGAATCCACAAGTAGAAAACAAGCACAACTGCAAACCAGATAATACAAACATGAACAAACAATAGCAGACCAGGAACTGAGGAACACAGGGCTTAAATACAAGGGAAAACACAACCAGGGACAAAAAAAAAAACAGGTGAGGAGCTAATTAATAAAAAAACATGGAAACATATTAGTGAATTAAAGCGGGAGAACAGGAACACAGGGAAAACTAAACCAAAACAGAACATAGATGTTATACTCTAATAGAAATGCTACCACAATTGGTTTGCATTTCTGGATATTTATTTTTATTAGAAAATAATGAGAGCAGCTAATATTCCACCTCAGACTCTGCAGCACCAGCCCTAATATGTGGGAGTGGGGAACATGTATTTATGTTAAATAACTTTGTTTTCTATTCCTATTTATATTATATAATTATATAATATGTTGATTGCCTTTATACTGTAGTAATATTAGGAGGTGTTTCTACATCAGAATAGACAGTCAGCTAATTTTGTCATTGTCTTTCATTTCCAACTCCTATATTTAAGAAATAAGCTGTGGTTCGCAGTGATTGTGGAGCATCTATAGGGACATTGTTGGACACGATGCAGTGAAAAACCCACCTAGAACATTAGTTAGCTTCATGAGGGCTGATTGCTTTTATATAATGATAACTACATATAACTGGCCAGGTTTCATAAAATAAACACAGAGCAACTATTATTTATTGATAACAAATAATAATCCTTCCACTAAGTTTTTCAGCAATGTTTTTCAGAATGGTTGCCAAGCAACACACAGACACAGCAACACACAACAGGTGCAACAGCACAGTGATATTAATGAGGTCACAGGTGTGTGTTTACGGAGTATTCTACAATAGCTTCAAACACAGCTCAACCAATCATAATAAAGGACCAGAGCTATCTGCTTTATAAATGATAATTACATATTGTTTCATTTAAGTGATGATCAGGGCTTGACATTAACACCCGCCAAATGCGGGTGGATTTCATCTGTGGCGGGTAACACAGTCACTCCCATTAGCCACTTTGGCGGGTTGAATTCTACATACAGTAACAGAGCTCGACATAATGCTTGTCTGGGACAAATGGATTTTTTGAAGGAGCAAGTGAAAGAAGAGAATTTTACTTGCCAGACCAGACAACTATTCTGATTAAAACATCTAATTAGGAAAGCACCGAAATTTCAGTGAGAATGATTCATTTATTGTTTATTACACTCCGTGTAAACAGCGATTGATAATGGATAATCAACAGTAACAAGGTCGCACCAGTTGAGGCTAATGCAGCCTGTCTGTGAGAAATTCTCGTGGAGAAATTAAAACAAATGAACACAACAGCACACAGAAGAAACATAAAAATGTAACTTAGTTTTTATATTTATAACATACAGCCTAGTTAAGCAACATAACACGACCAAGAGAGTGAAGATTTCCCTGAAAACCACGATTGCAAATTTTACATTTTATACAAGAGTTAAAACGAGAAGCCTAGTTAATATACATTTTAGTTGAATATTGGAATTTTAATTTATTGAAAGGATATATTGTCAATGTTGACTGTTTTTGCTTGATTTGGTTGATGAAAATAATTCCAAAAAAAGATCACAGCAGAGCAGTCGTGCATCATTTTGAATCACTGAAGTCATTGATTCAGTGGTCCAGTCATAAAGACAGACACTTGCTTCCTTCTTGAACGAATCAGCCGTCTGAACGAATCATTTGAAGGCATGCTTCAATGACTCATTAATTAAGACAGTCACTTGCTGCCACCTACTGGCAGTTTACTTTCATAGTAGCTTATCTTTGGATTTTTTCCCCCCACATTTCATATTTGTATATCTAAAAAAACTATTTTAAAACACCAGTCTCAGAACATTATTTATGCTGTTATAATTTTGCAGTCTAAATGCATTCGTGCTACATTTAATTTACACTGAACTGTCTGTGTAAATGCATCTGAATGCACTTCATTCACTTCTGTTTCTTCTGCAGTGAAAAGATCAGTTTTGTTGATACTGATTTAATTTGATTGGTAACAGCCCTATGTTTTATTATATTAAGTGAAATTATTAATAAAATGTAAGAATTTGGTATGAAAGATGATGCATGCATTTAGGCCAAAAATGACCTGGAAATCAATTTAAATAAATTTTTGTATGCAGTATTAAGTCATATAAAATGTAATTTACCAACAACAAAACTGTGGCCAGTGAAAATGCTGAGTGGCTAGTAAATTTGGAAAACCACTAGCCACAGTGGCTGATGAGCAAAAAAGTTAATGTCAAGCCCTGGTGATGATACATTATGTGCATCAAATCAACAAGCATCTTAAATCAAAAAAGCATCTTAATCTCAAACCTCAGTATCTGCAGCTGACAGTTTGGGCTCTTCAGTCCATCAGAGAGCAGCTTCACTCCTGAATCCTGCAGGTTATTGCTACTCATGTCCAGCTCTATCAGGGGTGAGCTTGGTATCTGCAAGGCCAAAGCCACAGTCTCACAGCAGGTATCATTGAGACAACACCGGTCGAGTCTGTAAAAACAAGATATTTGCCAAAAACATAAGAGAGCACTGGTCATTCCCAACCCCCACCTACAAGCCCTGCCAGTCCCGAGACTCGAACCTGCAACCTTTGGGTTACAAGTCCGACTCTCTAATTATTAGGCCACGACCACCCCAATTAAGCACACAGCCTTTGTGTGTTTATTTTGTATGAACAGTGTTGTTTGATAGGTTATGCCATGTTCTTTGTTAATATTTGAAATAAAATATTATTTTATATCTAGAAAAAATATAAGACTGTGATGTATGCTTAAACTATTGTCAATGCCAGACAAGTGAAATCAGTAAAAACGTTCAAATGTATTTCTATAAATTAAATTAAATTAAATTTATGCATTTAGCAGACGCTTTTATCCAAAGCGACTTACAGTGCATTCAGCCTATACATTTTTTACCAGTATGTAAAAAATTCTATAAAATTACTATGTTTATGTTTTTGTAATAGCTTTACTATGTAAAGCTATTGAACCAAAACCAGATTTTCACCTCCCAAATCAGTAAAAACAAGATATTTCACATTGCAATTTACTCTGAAATTTAATTTAAAAGCTAAAAATTTTGATTAAATAGGGTGACCATATGTCCTCTTTTTCCCAGACATGTCGTCTTTTTGGAACTAAAAAACTGCATCCGGCCGGGAATTCTAAATCGCCCAAAATGTCCAGGATTCGGCTTTTGCTTTATATAATTCATTGTGTACATTTTTTATTAAAGCCCTGCGCAGGACTGTTTTTTTTTTCATCCCGCTGATTTTCTGACTATTACCGCCTGCTATGGATTCAAAAACATTCTAATCCCGCAAACATTCTAATACTGAATATAATTTTGGTGCATCAGGTAGCTGCTATCAATATATCACTTTGGATGCAGCTCATGTTGGATTGAGGATTGCCAAATGCGCATTTTTTCCACGGAATTGGGCTGATTTTAAACTGTTGCGGCGGGTTGATTTTCTTCTGTGGGTTAAAGGTTTGAAATATTTAATAAATTACATTTGACTGAAATGCTTGTATTGAAACATTTTGCACTCTACCTATGATAAACTGTGGTAGATGTTAAAGGGTTGGTTCACCCAACAATGATAATTAGTCCATGTTTTACTCACCCTCAAGCCATTCTAGGTGTATGTGACTTTCTTCTTTCAGACAAATCCAACCGGAGTAATATTTAAAATTGTCCTGGCTCTTTTAAGCTCTATCATTGCAGTCAGCGGCTGTTTCTATAAAAAACCCTAACCGAATCTATAAAAAACATGCCTCACACAGCTCCGGGACGTGAATAAAGGCCTCCTGTAGCGAATCCATGAGTTTTCATAAGAAAAATATCCATATTTATAACTTTATAAACAGTTTTGTGTAACTTTCACTTTCTGTCGTACGCGTGTTCACAAGAGACTGCCTTTCTGGTGGATGTCGTAGAACACCGGCGCAGCGAAGCGAGAGTCTCCAACGTTTGTTTACAGGAGCAAAGGAAGCAAAGTTTCCTTACTTTACCAAAGGAAAACCAGTCTCCTCTTGGCTTATATCGAAATCCTCTGACATTTTTCTTTACAAATCCTCGTTTTGTTCTTCTAATTCGTGACCGGTGGTTTGTTTTGTTTATTTGACGTGTTTTGGACTGTGTAGCAGAAACACCCGCTGACTGCAATGATAGAGCTTAGAAGTGCCAGGACAATTTTGAATATTACTCCGATTGGATTCGTCTGAAAGAAGAAAGTCACATACACCTAGGATGCCTTGAGGGTGAGTAAAACAGGCTGATTTTCATTTTTGGGTGAACTAACCCTTTAAGTTTTGTGAAGGATGGCCACTGGTAGGAAGCCTTTTAGCTGTGTTTAAGATCAATCTGTAAAATGGTGACTGTAAAATATGTATTTTAGGTATGGAAATTACATATTTTGAGTTTTGATATGGTCATTGCGCTACTTTGGGGGCTACTTTAACCCCGTCCCCCCACCCCACTCCACTGTCCTTGTTTTGGAAACTAAAATATGGTTCCCCTAGAATAAACAGCTGTCTACAATTGCTTACTTGGCTTTTCTACAGCATCTCACAGCAGGCAGAAGCCTTGTGTAACCTTCACTTGTCTGCTTCCTCAGGTTGAGCTCATCCACCACCTCCCCTGACATCATCAATACACAGGCCATCAATGAGCACATGGAAGGTGTGAGGTTTCTTTGTGGATTAGTTTGGAGGTAGCTCAGGATTTCCATATATAATGAATTGTCATTGAGCTCCAGTAAGCAGTAAAACAGGTTTACTGAGGTTTCAGGGGAGATGTCCTGGGTTTGTAATAGTTCTGTAATGTGTTGAGTTGTTTTTGTGATGCTGTCCTTGCTGTCCTCAGGGTGTGTGAACAGGTCTCTGAGCATTTTCTGATTGGATTCTAATGAAATGCCCATCAGAAACCGCAAAAACAGGTCAAAATGTCCCCTCTGACTCCGCATTGCTTTCTCAATAACCTTCTTTAGTAAATCATGCAAAGGAATATTTTTGGAGAGTGTGTCTTCTAGACTGAAGGAGAACCAGATATTTGTCCCAGACTCTGCTTTGTTTCTCTTCAAAGAAAAACTGAAGCTCCTCCATGTTCTTGTCCAGGTAGCAGAGGAACACGTGCACTGCAGCGAGAAACTCTTGAACACTCAGATGCACAAAGCAGAAGACCTTCATCTCATGAAGTCCGGCTTCTTGCTGAAAGATCTCAGTAAGCATTCCTGTGGACTCAAAGTCTTCACTCACATTAATACCAGATGCTTCCAGATCTTTCTCATAGAACACAAAGTTTTTATTCTTTAGTTGCTCAAACGCTAGCTTGGCTAATTTCAGAATCATTTCTTTATTGGAATTTAAGAGCTTGGTGAAGTCTCTTTTTTTTTTTCTGTCATGCTTCTGGCTCTTCATGTTCATCTGTATTAGCAGGAAGTGGATGTACATTTCAGTGAGTGTTGTATTGATGGTCTCCGCATTGTTTCCAATGAGGGTGTCTTGAAGAACAGTGGCTGTGATCTTACAAAACACTGGAATGTAGCACATGATATAGAGGCTGTGAGATTTCTTAATGTGTGAGATCAGTCTGGAGGCTTGAGTCTCATCTGTGACCCTCTTTCTGAAGAACTCCTCCTTCTGCTGGTCAGTGAATCCTCGCACCTCAGTGAACAGCCCTACATACTCAGGAGAGATCTGATTGGCTGCTGCTGGTCGTGATGTAATCCAGATGAGAGCTGATGGAAGCAGAGTCCCGTTCACCAGACTTGTAACCAGCTGATCTACAGATGATCGCTCCTCAACACTCGTCACCATTCCACTGTCAAAATCCAAAGGCAGTTGACTCTCGTCCAGTCCATCAAAGATAAATGCAAGCTTACAACTATACAGCTTATTTATCTTTGCTGTTTCCAGGTCGTTCAGTTCAGGATTAAATTTCTGTAGAAACTCATGCAGACTAATCTCTTTGTCTTTAATGCAGTTAATCTTGCGGAATGGAAGCAGAAACACACAGTTTATATCAACATTGGCTTCTTCTTCAGCCCAGTCCAGAATGAACTTGTGTACGGAGACTGTTTTTCCAATGCCAGCGATGCCTTTGGTCAGCACAATCTTTTTCTTCTTATTTGTGTTCCGACTGAATACATCATTGCATTTGATTGGCCTGTCCTGTGATTTACAGATTTTAAAAGAATCATCAATCTGCAAAACCTCATGTTCACAATTGACTTCTTTAATGTCCCCCTCGGTAACGAAGAGTTCTGTGTAAACATCCTTGAGATGTGCTTCCATTCCATTTATACCCTCGAAAATGTATTCTACTTTCTCCCTCATGTTCGTTTTGTGAGTTTTCAAGAAGTTTTGCAGCCCAAAATATTCTGTTATGAAAAAAAATGTTCAAATTAACTGGAAATGTTGGGAACAAAACAACACTAGAAACCAAACTATTAGCATGATTGTCAAAAATAACTAGGACAGACATATAGTTTTTAAATACACAGTACAGAAAGCAACTCATCCCGTACTAAGATCAATATACTGTACATCAAACATGCTAAAATCATTTCTGAGCCCACTGTGAGGATGTGACTTAAACTGGTTCACCTTGTTTTTCTGTGTGTTTCTCAGCTCCAGCTAATTATTTTTGCACTGTAAAGAGAGAGAGAAATAATGGGAGAAAATGTAGAACTAAAATTATATAGATTGTAACTTGAACAGTAACTTTAATACACATTCACAAGCTACTTTATTACACCAGTTCAACTGCTCATTAACGCAAATATCTAATCAGCCAATCACATGGCAGCAACTCAACGCATTTAGGCATGTAGACGCGGTCAAGATGAGTTTAAACCAAGCATCAGAATGAGGAAGAAAGGTCATTTAAGTGACTTGGCACAGTTGTTGTTGCCAGACTGGCTGGTCTGAGTATTTTAAGAAACTACTGACATACTGGGATTCTCACACACAACCATTTAGGGTTTACAGAGAATGGTCAGAAAAAAACTAAAACAAAAAAAAAAAGTCCAGTGAGAATTTGGTATAAACAATATGAAAGCATGGATTCATCCTGCCTTGTATCAACGGTTCAGGCTGCTGGTGGTGTAATGGTATGAGGTTTATATTTTCTTGGACACTTTGGGCCCCTTAGTACTAATTGAGCATTGTTTTATCACCTCAGCCTACCCGAGTACTGTTGCTGACAGTCTATCTATTTATGTCCACGGTGTACCTATTTTGTGATGGCTACTTTCCAGCAGGGCAACACATGTTGTCACAAAACTCAGATCATCTCAAACTGGTTTCTTGAACATGACAGTGAGTTCACTATGCACCTTATTGTTCAACGTGGAAGTAAGCTGTTTTCGGTGAATGTGCAAGACTTCCCGTTCATTAGCCGCCATAAGGAAATAACGAGAAGTGCAGTAAACGGTAAAACGGTGGCACTACTAACCAGTGCGTTGATAATTGAGATAATACATTAACATAATATGGTAAGATACACCAGTTTGAAATATCAAGCTGCAAAACAAGCTGTTTGTACAGCTAAAAAATACCTGGAAGCGGATGACACCGGAAACCAGACACATTAAATTTACAAATGCTCTGCTCTTACGGGAAAAATAAGGTGGATACTCAGATGTCCTTAACAGATCTCAATCCAATAGAGCACCATTGGGATGTGCTGTAATGGGAGATTCACATCATGGATGTGCAGCTGATAAATCTGTGTGATGCTATCATGTGAATATGAACCAGATCTCTGAGGAATGTTTACATGTTAATGTTAATGAATGAATGAATGTTAATGTCGCATTTTATTGCGATCCTGCATTATTATTCACCATTTCACCACAAAATACAAAAATCAAATACAGAAAATTATCCCTAATGTAATTAAAATTGTAATGCATTATTTTCACAAGGATACAGATGTTGTGCATCTGATGTCATGCATGAAATTATATAAAGAAAGCAAATCTTTCATACCTGCATCTCACATAAATGCCACAGGCAAAGCAAAACAATATCCTAATGTATTACACAAGAGTGGGGGTGAATGGTTTTGTAGTTCTTGTGATAAAATTCTGGATCACGAAAGAAAGTCTACTGTTGACTGAAGCAGAAGCAAACATCTGCGACAGACAGACCTGTGGCTGACAGTGATTGAGATACAGGTGACAGCTGTTGGACACGAGTGAAATGAAGTAAGCAAAAGTGATTGTTGTTTTATATGGCTGGGCTGGAATGATGATGTAAGTGTCTGTAAGTTGGCCTGTGTCTGCACAGCTTTCAGTGGCTGGTACAGTTTCAAGTTTTTGAAATGTTACAGCGATTAAGAAACATGGATGAATTCCCAATTTAAAAGTATGTGCTTGATAGTATTAAATTGAGTCATTCAAAGCGCTGTATACTGCGAGAGAGAACATAATACAGTCAGTCATACTAACTGTGGAGTTCTGTGCGCTTGCAGCCTGTCAGCACGCAAGCACCGAATTGAGTTTTCTTTATAGGCACTTGAACAGTCTAATACATACATTATTGTCAAAAGGTCTGTCTTGGCAAATATTCAAATAAACACTGTCAGTTATGTCTTAAGTGAACAAACTGTTTGGGGGGAAAACACTGGATCCATGCATTACTGTAGGTCTACTGTAAATGGCAGCAACCGTTCCTGCTGATGTCTGTGTTATTAATGGTAATCACACAACTACATCAAAACTTTCTGGAAATGACCATAACCACAAAGTTAAAAGTAACACAACACTGGTGATCAGTATTGTTTTTACCTTCTGAATTCTCCTGTAAGTCTTCAGCCAGCTGGTTCTGGTTAATCTTCCTCAGGATGTTCAGTGTGATCTTCACAGCTTCATCATCTCCATAACACTCCAGCATCAGATCCACTATGTCAGTGACACCAGCATTCTCCAGTTTACCAGCTCTAATTTTCTTATCATCTTTTAAGAGACGCCTAAATCTCTTCAGATCGTCTTCTACCAGGTCATCTAGAGTATTATAAAGCAGCTCTGAAACAGATGCCATCATTCTTCATAGAATACTGGAGAAGTTGTTTTCAAAACAACAAAAGGGATCTATGCAGACAAACAAATGTGCACAATTAAATGACACTGATAAATCCTTTTCTAAACTTGTAATGGCTATAACAAAGTATTTAAAATAATAAAAAAATAATAATAATTAAAAAATAATTAATTCTTCAATTATTTTGGTTTGAGCGATTCAGCTCAATGCTAGTGATGTGAGATTGAGTTTCATCAGACTTCATGCTTTATGGTCCTGCTCTTAATACCACTCAAGTATGAGAAAGTGATTTTAATTTCTGTCCTAGTCTTGTCTTGACTTTCACATTTCAGATCAGAATAAAAAAAAATAAAAAAAATAAAAAACAATATACTGTATATATACTGAATATACCAAACATTACTTTACAAATATTTACTGATAGATAAACACTGAATGCATCATATTCTTCTTTTGAGATATCTAAAGACATTCACAGAAAACATTTGATTTAGATTTTTGTGTTTTTGTTCCATTTCTGCAAAAAAAAAAAAAAAAGAGAGAGACTGCACAGTAATAACAAGAATCGGTAAAATTAAGTAACTTTGTAATGTTGAATCAGTCTGTGTATTTAATGACAAAAGAAAAGGAAACAGTAACATGAATTTGGTTGAGAAACTTTTTAAATTGCATTTCTGTCATTAGTTGTGGTGCATGAATCTGCTATGATTACTGGAAAATAGAACACTGACTACTAACTTAAAAATATTTGCTAACTTACCTTGAATAATGACAATATTTAGCGATGTATCTTTCTATTCGTCTGAACTGACAGCTTGTTGAACGGAAGCACTGCGTTTCCTTTTTACACTTTTTTTTTTCCTCAAAAACAAATGTGGGTTTTTCTCTGCAGAGCTTCCTGCGGAAGACAAACCTGCAGACTGCAGCCAGTCAAACAAATATGTTGTTTTTTGTGTCTTTGAGATTTGACATTGACTTCTATTGTTTTTATTCAAAATTGAAAGTAGTGTTTATAGTAACATTCACTTACACTCATGTTTTGCCTCTTGTGTGGAACACAAATGCTAGTGTGCAGATTTGCACACTTTTACATGAACAAGGTCCACAAACTATTTGAAACTCTTTTTAATTTCAGGGCTGACAAAACAGGATTCATTAATCATTTGCTTCGAATCGGAACTTTTTTTTTTGTGCTTTTTTAAATTTATTTATTTATTTTTTATTAAACAATACAAACATTAAAACATTACGTCAGTACAATTAAAAATCATAAATAAAGACAAGATAAAAAAAACAAAACAAGAATATACACACAGATTTGTAGCCAAGGTAACAACAACAAAAAACAAGGTAATAAAATTACATCTTAAGAAGACACAAAGGACGAATATAAAGATACTGTTTTCATTGTTTAACATGCTATCAGTTCTTTTGAGTGGGTTCGCGAATCATTATTCAGATCGGGACTTCAGAGCAGGTTCGTGAATCTTTTTTAGTATTAAACAGTACCATTAAGGCAGTACAGTTTTAAAAATAAAACAAAGGGGGAAAAAAGAAAAGAAAAAGAAAGTATAAATAGATACAAATGTGTTGCCAGGATAAAAAAAATAAGTAAATAAAAAAAGTAACTAATTTACGAGGACACACAGGAGATGCAGCTTTGACTGCTTTAGGATTAACAGAACTTTTTGTAGTTTCCATGTACTTGCCAGATTTTAGCTAGTAGAAAACACAAATTAACTTCCCAGGTAGCCAGCGCAATCGGGCCAATTGCTTCTGAGTATCGGCTCACTCGGCTGTGTTCTGGCAGCGGCTCACCGAAAGTCAGCCAGCTCTGGCCCAGTAATGGTTGCCAGATTTGGCTAGGATTTGAATGTGCGGATCTGACCCGATTTGCACTGAGACACGGCACATTTAGCCACATTCGGCCCGATTACGGACCATAAGGGCTGGTCTGATTTTGGCTGAGATATGAGCATGCAGACCCAGACCAGTTTAGGTTGAGTGCTGGGGGTGGGTCTCCGTTTACAGTGTGGTAAATAGTATGTAGCAGTGACACTTAAACATCTTTATCTGCCCATGTTATTTCTTAGTGTATTTTTTATTTTAATTCCTATTAATATTGTTTTCCTTTTATCCAACATTCTCTTTTTTCTTTAACTACATTTGGAAATTAATGATTTAATTTATATAATGAAACAAGCTTAAAGTGGTTAAGGGAACTTTAACAATATTTTTGCTATATGAGTTTCAAGACATGCGCACTAGCTTAATGACAAAACCTGACGGGCTTTTTGTGCTGCTAATTTCCAGAAGACCAGAAGAACTTAATACACTGGTGAGTAAACATTTAATAATCAAACATATAACGTAATATTTTAATAAACCGTTCTACACATATAATATCAAAGTAATGTTTATTTATAATGAAGCTATAATTGTGAGTTCGCTGACATAGTGCTAGAGTTTAGCTCCAACCCTAATCAAGCACACCTGATCCAGCTAATCAAGGTCTTCAGGATTACTAGGATGGGGGAAGAAAAGAGCGGGCCTGAACACAAACTAATTCTTCCGAAGGTATGTTCCAAATGTTAACATTTACCAGAGTTACCATTCATGTTATCAGTCAGATTCAGATTGTCTGAATAATCATACTTGTAATTGTCTGTTCCCCTTTTTGTCTCTCTTTCTGTCAATCTGTCCTTCTTTTAGGGTACGCTTACTTTAGGAAGGTCCTGGATTTTTTTTTTTTTTTTTATAAATTCTAATATCACTCATATTTTCATTGTGTCATTTATATACTTGAGGGGGAAAGGAGCACATATGGATGTTATGGGGTAGTAGGTGCGGATGCCATGGAAAGAAATGGTGTAAGGGCCAAACCCTTAATCTCTGTAAAGGTGACATAATTAGTTGACATGCATAAGTACATGCAGGCTTAACAAGGACACTGTCAAATCTATATTTTATTTTAGTTGGAAGTAGATGCCATCTTAAGGATTTTAAGGTAACAATGTAATTTTGTGGAAAAACAAATTATTCAAAGCTTTGGTTTTATATCAAAACTGGATGGAGTCTTTAATCGCGGCAGCCATATCACCCTGCAGCCCAAGACTGGTTGCCCACTGAAGCTAAGCAGGGTTGAGCTGGTCAGTACCTGGATGGGAGACCTCCTGGGAAAACTAGGTTGCTGCTGGAAGAGGTGTTAGTGAGGCCAGCAGGGGGTGCTCACCCTGTGGTCTGTGTGGGTCCTAACGCCCCAGTGTAGTGACAGGGACACTATACTGTCAACAAGCACCGTCCTTCGGATGAGACGTTAAACCGAGGTCCTGACTCTCTGTGGTCATTAAAAATCCCAGGATGTCTTTCGAAAAGAGTAGAGGTGTGACCTTTGGCCTCTGGTTCTTTTCAACGTACTGTGGCTTCTTTATTTCTATATTCTTGATTTGCAACTACACTAATGGTGCGTTCAAGTCATGTCAGATAGATTGTATTTACGAGTTGAACGCACATGAACGCCACCACAAAGTCGTTATTACGAGTGGAAAACTCGAAATTTTCTTTAAGCCCAGAGTTTCCAAGTTGGGGGCGTGTCAATGAGAAACATGGCGGAATCGATGGATGCAACGGTAGATGACGGTACATTTTTGTTTAAATTGATAGTTTAGTTGTCCTATAAACTTCAATTGGTCATGTTCTTGTTACGCAGCTGAAATCCAAGTAAAAAAAATGCAGACCCTGTTGTATTTTCTTGTAATTTATTAAAAGAAGGTACACCGCCATCTTGTGCCGACTAAACTGACTTGAACGCACCTGACATCGTAATTACGACTTGTCAACTCGTAAGTACGAACGTCCCAGGAGGACTTGAACGCAGCATAATTTGCGCTGCGCTTGGTATATTGCGTTGCTCGATATGTAAATGAGATGTTGCGTCTGTGTTCTTTAATTTGCGCGTTGTTAGTAAATCACCCGCAGAAATTTCCACACCTATCAGTGCTGTTTTGGGATTTCAGTCTCATGCTAATTTGCCCTGTTTAGTAAACCTGGCCCTTAATATCTAGACACTGCCAAAAAAAATAACATAATCCAACATATAATACCGTATTGGCCCGAATATAAGACGACCCTGATTATAAGACGACCCCCCTTTTTCCAGATGTACCTTTTGGAAAAAGGCTTTTTAAAAGCCAAATCTTGTTTTTTCTCAGTAAAACACATTTTGTCTTCAATTATTTTCATATTGCA